AATAAATGTCCGTCCCTATGTATACTTAAATCTTTGACTACGCAACGGATTTCGAAGCAGTTGTTTTAATAGATAGAATGATTCAAGAGGAAGGTTTATATATATAATACATGTACACCCGAAACTGACTTAATTAGAAGCGGACTTATTATTTGATTATATTATCACTCATAATTTTATAAGAATTGTCGTCATGATAGGTTGTGTCGAGAATAAACCTTTGTTTGTCATTACGTCATTTTGTCTCTAAATAATCAATACAAGATAATAAGAAAGAATCATATGAACTTACAGTACCCGAGTGTAACCGGAGTATCAATTAGTTCTGGTTTAATACAAATTATGAATAATAAAACTTTCACGTTATAACTACTGAATGATGAAACTTTACAGTAATATAGCTTATACATCAGAATACATAGGCGATAATTTAAATATTCTTTATTGCACTTAAATACATTTATAAGTAAATTAATTACAGCTAATGTTAACAAAGGAGGACTTATCTCTAAAAGAGATCTCTTCCAGTCAACCCAATAGAGCGTGGCATAGGAAGTGTTGAGTGGGTTAAAATGTGCAAATTATATTTTTTATTTAAAGAGGTATTATTTAAATAGGACGGTATATAATAATAAATCTCAAGTAAGTGTGTTGCAGACCTAGTTACATGGGTCACCTAGTACTATTAATGTGAAAGTTTGTGAGTATGGATGTTTGAATGGATTTTTGTTACTATTTCACGCAAACACTAGAAACAAAAATTTGATAAACATTTACAGTAATATAACATAAGATATCGGTTATATTTAAAAAAGATATTACGTAAATGGACGAAACATAATTTTATAAATGGCATTTGTGATGCAGACAACGTTACGCAGTTCAACTTGTTCTGCAGAAAATGCGTGGATTGTACATTAATATCACTTACCTACTCTACTTTAGCAGATTTCGTAACTCAATACTATTTTAATTTCTGCTACCATGGGGAGAAACGGGGGTGTTCTCCCCTTTTGTGCAGTGAATGAGTTTGAAATGAACTCGACTTGAGAGTCGTGTAGCGTAATTCAGCATGTTGCAAGCAGTAACAGACTACCTAGTCAGTGTTTAACAGTCGAAATATTAAATAAGTTGTAACTTTATTATAGTTCAGCTTGAAGCTCTAAGTCTTGATGAGTATGCATAAATTTACATATTAAATTATACCTTTGCTCGAAACATGTTATGTTTTATTATGGAAGATTGTGAAATCACGGATTAATTTATTTAATTTAATATTAAAATTTTAATCTGTTATTTCACACAGGATTCTTTTTAATAGATGATAATGGAATTGACACCAGTGGAAGATAAGCATTATGATGTGAACAGGTCGTTTCGCCTCGGCCTCGGTGGTCCAGGTTTAGCATACCACCTTACTTCCGATAGTCGCGGGTTCGAATCCTCGCACTGCACAAACATTTGTATTCGTGAGTATGATTGTTTTCATTGATCTGGGTATTTTCAATGTATAATATGTATGTATTTACGAAAAAAGATACACCTATGTATCAGTTGTAGAACCCATAACACAAGCTGTAGCTAGCTTAACTTGGGTTAGATTGAGTTGTGTGAATTGTCCTGAAATAATTATTATAGTTAATTCCACGAATTCACAAAAAAATGCTGAAATTAACAGCGATGGATTCCAGTGTGGACCATTTGCTATTAAATCATACATTAAAATCATAGTAAAAATGATGTAGTTTAAAATAAATATATTTTAAGATACGGATAATGTTCAAAATAAAATAGCATCTTTCAAAAAATATGTCAACCAATAAATACTCTTTCTGCACTGTAAACATTGTTAGTCCTTTTTTTTTATTATAAATCTTTTTGTAAATGTTGTACTAAAATTAATTCATAAATTATCTGGAAAAGCACGTCGTTTAATTGTCTCGTCCAGTCATGATCGTGAATAGTCGTGATGAATATGCGGAAACGCTATTTGACATTGCAATATGCTCTAGGGAACTTTATCGTGGAATATTTATCATTGTACTCTATTTTTAATAGGTGATAACGAAATGCTGCGATGCAATGCTCTCGATTGACGGCCTCGGTGGTCTAGCGGTTTAGCACACCGCTTTACTTTAGATGGTCATGGGTTCGATTACTCGCATGTTGCAACATTTGTATTCATGAGTATGGTTGTTGATGTCGATCTGGGTGTTTTCGATGTATATATGTATATATTCACAAAAAAAATCTAAGTGTTTATGTCAGTTGTCTAGTACCCATAACACAAGCTCTGCTTAGCTAGGATTTAGACGCTTTTTAGATTTTTTTTATATATATATATATAAATAAATATAAATTATACAATATAAATCTTACAAGCACATAACAATGGTCATTCATAATTACTCATACACAGTGACTAAGAATCGGGTTCAAGTGCAGTAAAATAGTTAAACACAATTAATAATAATTATATTATATAATTGCCGTTATAATTAATGTCTAGCTAATGTTTTTTAAGATAACATTCTGTTGCCTAAAACTTGATGAACAAGGTACTGTTAATCTGGTCTCTAGTTTTATTAACCTGACATACATATTATGCGTCAATAATATATTAGCAAATAATGCAGTCGTCACAGGACTGATATTTAGATTTTTTTGTTATAATATTTACGGATTGTTTATAGAATATATTTTTTATATTTGACCATTATACTGTTACTAACTATTGAAATACACCAACAATCATAAGCGTTATTTATGAATAGTAATAAAATTGTGGTGCATCTGCATGCGCTAACTATATAGGGATGAATATAAATATATGTTATTCATACCTATGGAGATCATACCATGATATATTTAATACCTACAGGACACTGACATAATACATATCTCCTCTTTCTCAGATAGATAGATAAAGAAAATATAAGAAGATAGACAGATAAAGAGGTATCAGTGATGAGTTAGTATGAATCCAGAAACGTTATTGACCACATTATCATGGTTCAAATCGGAAGAACCTAAGCACATATGAGGCGGGAAGGGGATTATCAGTAGTGATCACATTGCTAGCAAAATACACTATTAGGTCCATCATCCACTTGGAAACCACCATGGTGCGTTCTTAGCGAATTCTCCCCGATGTATGGATTAACAGACCTGACTTTATGCTCATCGTTACGTTAGCGCAGGCATCTCACATAGTCCATAACGGTCATCGACCAATTTCAGATACATGGATCGTAACCATAGTTACTATAATTCAAATATGAAGTACATAAGGTTTATTTGTTTTATAGCACAAGTAATGGCACGGAATTTAAATTCGCATTGTTCTACTCTGATGTCCTGAATGCAATATATTTAGCACTTTTTAGGCATATTTTTAGGCATCCTACATCCATAACCGTTATGGACCAATTTCAGATACATCGACCGTATCCATTGTTACTATAATTCACTTTACAAGTACACAAGTACATAAGTACTTTATTATGTTTTTATGTACAACATGGCTTTTGCATTTAAGCAATGACGTATATAGGTGGAATCCTTTTTATAGCCCGTAATCATAACAATAATTTTATGGACTTAATAACAAAACAAACAAAGATAATAATAAAAGATAGAGTATCGCTGAAATCTGCATTGATAGTACTAACTTTTTCATTTTTATCTATAATTTTTTTTAGTTACTCCAAAACTTTTGTTAAATATAAGTATTTTTGATATCTCAATTGTTTCAGTATTTTCAACTATCTAATCTTAAGACATATGATACAAACCTTAATATTTTTCTTAAACGAGTAGAATTAGACATACCTATCTACTCAGACGATTAAAAGGATTAACATATCGATGCATAAAACATAGCACCTTTTTATTAAAAGAAAGAAATAAAAATCTGATGAGTTACGAATAATGCAAATTATTTTATTGACTACTTTAATGTTGTAAGAAGCTTAGAATATAAGACTATCTAGAATATTAATTATATATGCAGTACATGCACTTAGTAAATAAATACATTGCCGTTATGAGAACGAACAATAAATAAAATTTTAGCATCAATAAGTATCAATAAACATTGTGTATTCTAACAAAATACTTACACAGACTGTACACAGACTTTTTGATCTATGTAACGAGCCTGCTTACAAATTCCAAATTTAAAAATAATATTGGAAATGTATTTTTTTTTCTATTTGCGACTGGCAAAAGTAGATAGATCGTACTGCCTTATTTTCGGTACAGTATTGGAATTGTTTTGAAAAATGGCAGATAATAAAAAAATGCGACATTTCATTTATGAAGGTTCTTAATCTAGTTTATAACAACCTTTTTCTGCGTAAGAAGGATTAGTATACTGCCTTATTGCTCTTTAAAACTTTATTGTACGGATTTATAGTGATTTAGATTATATACATGACAATGACACTGTAGTGTTTTTATTAATCTACTACGCCATAGAGAACTAAAATATTGGATATACCTAATATCAATGTTTATTCACTTGAAGAAGGTATGTCTCAATATAAGTATATTTGATGGTGAATCGTGTGCGTATAGATTTTTTTGGGAAACTGTTCATAGAAATGTAACGTATAAAATTAAGCCAAGGTCTATGTTAAAATAGATTATATCGATTCCCTAATGTCATATTAAATAAGTCAGGTGACTTATTTAATAGGTATATAACTAGAGAATTAATGTCTATGAAATTTAATATTTCAAGCTGTATATCAAAATATCTACCAAGTAATTGAAACTAGAGCACGCTCAGGCTAAATGAAAGGGATAACAGCGCGGGGGCGCGTTAGTAACTCTGTGCACACAGCTTTTATATAAAATGAAGCGCGCTATTTCGCAACCATTCGAACTTGGAATCTCGCTGCGATCCCATCGAGGAACGCAGGAGAGCCATTTGCAAACTATACGAATTTTGCGCGCGAAAAGTGACAGATCTTATTTTTTTTAATTCGAACTTTTATTTAACATGGCTGTCACTAGTGCCAGGAATGTGGTGAATTTGAAGGAGCAACATTTCGAACATGAAAATGCAAGGATTGATAAGTACACGGTATGTTTTTTATAATTATTAAAATTAAAATATATCCTAGTCTTATGAAAAACCATAATTTAGTTTTGTGTATCAAATCTACTGTTTTTTTTTATTTTCTAATCTTTATCGATATCACGACGAAATTATTTTTATTAAAGCCATTGTGGCTACGGACGATTTATTAGGATCTCTTTAAACTAAAATTAGAAACTATTGAACAGATAAAAAAATAATACTAAAATAAGGCTAAATCAAATTGTGATCTTAAAGTGTAACTCCACTCATGTCTGCCTTGGTGCCACTGTTAGGCAAATTGTAACATCTCGGCAAGAGGCACTCGGAGCTGTACAAAAGTGAAAATTAAAGAAATATAATAATATTAAAGTAAATTAAAAAAGGGCACGAACGTATATGTCTGTGGAAAAAAAAATCTGTAACTCCAAATAAATCCTTAGCTAATTCTTAATTATAATCTTACGTAATAAATTATGAAATATGAAGAAACCGCTATTGAAAGTTTGGTACTCATAATTGCAAGTTATAATATTATAATAGAAAACAATATTGTTGTTCATCTGACAAAAATTAAATTAATTACAATGGTTTGTCGTCATTAATATAAAAACAATCAATTAATTACAAATTATCTAGTTGTTAGCAAATCAACTTTTTCTGCAAAATCTTGGATTTCTTATTAAACCCATTTCACAGTATTTTTCGGTTATAAAATATGGTCTATGTCTGTCATGACTCAATCTATCTTTAAGTCGATTTTTTTCTATATCTCTTGAATTAACTCTTTTTCAAGATAAGAGATTATCTTGAAAAAAGGTAGGTAATTAAAAAATAGAGATTACACAGAATTATAAATCCTAGATATCCTTACCAACGACAAATGAAAAGGACCACTGGTCCACTGGTAAGGATCTCTAGGATTTATAATTCTGTGTAATCTCTATTTTTTAATTCCTCTGTATGTCTGTTAAATAAAAGTGGTTGTGAAGAAAGTGGAATTTACAGAAATATAGATATATAGATATACCATACTTTAGACAATTTAATCTGACGCCCAAAAATAATTCTATAATATTTAAAGTCGAATTTGTTAATTTTAGTATGTGAGTTTGTTTATTTATTGGCTTGTTATCATATTTCAGCGCTTTATCGGAACAATCATTCGCAATTAAATTTGGTATATAGGCAATATTTGTGATTGAAATATACTGCATTTTACAGCCATCGATCACATTACAGTCACATGACAATATTGTTGTTCATCTGACAAAAATATTGTTTTCTATTATAATATTATTGGCTTTTGGCGGGAAACATCATCGAACGTCCATGTTAACATGCCAGCCTTATTTTCGTGGAACGATCCTAATCAAATTAATTATATTAAATTGAAATTATATTAAACTAATAATAAATTGTCCAATACTGATACAATTTTGATGATTATTTTGCAATCAGCTCCAATTATTTATTCTCACGATGTTTTTAGATTAGTTTGTTATTTTTTAAAACAAATTATTAATCTTTATATCTACCTCTATGTGTTCTATCAACGCAACAAATTGCTTGCTATAGTTGAAATTACATGGATATTTAAACAATCATATACCTTGTAAAAAAGATACATTTTTATGTAATTGGAACACCGAACCAGCTGACGGTCCATTATTATACAATACAATTCTGAAGGACTAAGGAAATGTGATGCTTCCGTATCCTATAATTGGCTCATCCCTCTAGCCTAACCTAAGCACATCTTACCAAGCAGGCTGCTTACCCCCACCGATCGATGACCCGTCCACCGTCGTATTCAAACGGGGATTGAAATTACTACGGACCTTGTCGAGATTTGAACCCCTAGCGGTGCCCTCAGACTAAAGCTATATCCGTCTGACGGGAGTTCATCTGTCCATAAGCCCTTTTGCAGGTTTGGAGTGCCATCTGCATTCGCCCCCTATCGTCTGATGAAACTGTAAAGGCCAGCTGTGGCCATCAGCATTAGTGTAGTTCGTAAAAAAGCTGCTTATTTGAACCTTGTGCCCTCCATGACAGAACATGTCTACATTTTTAGTGTACTAAGTGTTCATGAGTAATATTAATAGGGCTGTCAAGTCCTTTGCCTTAGTAATAATAAAAAAAATATTTAAAGCAGCAATTAAGCGAAGACAATGGAGATATCGATCATTAGAGCAATTCACCGGTTGTCAATTTATGTATGATTAATATTACAGAACACGTACAAAAACAAACTTGAATGATTGTTTGAGGCCATCAATTAGTGTTATGTTAACAGGTGTTACATAGCAAGTGGAGTAGCTATATTGATATATGTTATAGGAATATGTGACATATGCAAAACGAATATAATACTGGGTTAACACATTGTTTTATATAATACTTTAAAAAAAAATCTTAAAATAAATTTATTAAACTTTGTATACAATTGATCTTTTGTCGAGTATATCCCGCTGACTTTCACGAAGCCACGAATAAAAGCTATTAGTTAATAAACTTCTTCATTATAATTATATTTCGGACTGATTCTACGAGATAGAAGCACCGTCATCAAATTAATTTATATTAATTAAGTACCGGCGGTCGGACCGCTCCCTGGTACGTTGGATGCAATATTACAGCGCAATATTAGCATCTCATGCATCATCTTCATTATGGACTTAACACAAGTTCATAATGAAGCCTACAATTGACAATGCCTCTAACTATCCTATCTGAGATAACAATCGTAGAGATAAATTATTATTGTTAAAAATATAGTTAGACCAGTTATAAAAATAAACAATGATAAAAGTGGTCACAGCTGATTAGATTCTGTGGGTGATGTCTGTCATGTGACTGTAAAGTGATCGATGGCTGTAAAATGCAGTATATTTCAATCACAAATATTGCCTATATACCAAATTTAATTGCGAATGATTGTTCCGATAAAGCGCTGAAATATGATAACAAGCCAATAAATAAACAAACTCACATACTAAAATTAACAAATTCGACTTTAAATATTATAGAATTATTTTTGGGCGTCAGATTAAATTGTCTAAAGTATGGTATATCTATATATCTATATTTCTGTAAATTCCACTTTCTTCACAACCACTTTTATTTAACAGACTATACAGACATACAGAGGAATTAAAAAATAGAGATTACACAGAATTATAAATCCTAGAGATCCTTACCAGTGGACCAGTGGTCCTTTTCATTTGTCGTTGGTAAGGATATCTAGGATTTATAATTCTGTGTAATCTCTATTTTTTAATTACCTACCTTTTTTCAAGATAATCTCTTATCTTGAAAAAGAGTTAATTCAAGAGATATAGAAAAAAATCGACTTAAAGATAGATTGAGTCATGACAGACATAGACCATATTTTATAACCGAAAAATACTGTGAAATGGGTTTAATAAGAAATCCAAGATTTTGCAGAAAAAGTTGATGTGCTAACAACTAGATAATTTGTAATTAATTGATTGTTTTTATACTAATGACGACAAACCATTGTAATTAAGGACATTTTAACCCGTTATATACATGACTAATGTACAAGTTATGTTTCATAAAATCCCAAACAATGCACATTCAATCCGGTAACGGAATCTATAATATCAAGGTACCTAACTAACAAGTTACTTGTCATAAGGTCCTGATAAAGTCCTTGGTATAAGGATGTAGGATTTATAGTTCCGTTTGCAAATGCAATAGTGTTTCCGTGCCACGATTTTGCACTTCTCAACCTATCTACCACAGATAAAACAAAAACTCATTAGGCTCTATCCTAGCTGATATTATAATTGTGTCAATTAGTTTGTCTAAATCTTTGATTGGATGACCCGAAGACGGTTACTAGCTACTTTTCTTCCAAAATCTAATAGAAATGAGGGGATAACAGATTATGTATAAGTCATCTGCTACCCATAACACTAACTCTACTTAGCTGGTGAGTAGATGGCACTATGTGAATTTTCCAAGGTTAAAAAAACTATACTGTTTTTTAAATGAATTTAGGTACCAAAAAAATTTAAAATACCGCATATAATTATTTACATATTTTATTATATGTAAATTGTGTTAACAAATTTTTATATAGGTCTAGTTGTCTCATTTAAATAAATTAAAATACTAATCAATCAAAATCAAACTAACTACAGCCGACTACGAAAGTAAATCGTTTAAAAAGGCAACAAAGTTCTTATCTAACAACTAGTTATGAAACAATGAAGAAAACTCCCGTTTGTTAACCGGTTGTGGAATTCAAGTACAAATCTGAATACCATATAAAAAAAATCCTTCGAAAAAAAAAATTAAACACTCATATAAAATATGTTTCAGTACCACCAATACTAATTAGATAGGCAGTCAATTATAGCAAGGTCATTATAGCGAAAGGCGATCATCGAACTCAAAACCTTGATATTGAACGTGAGCGAGGTCCTCTCACTGAGTAGTGGGAATTATGCGCGTATCGGTATTATACTCATACTATACGTTAACTGGTTGGATTAAAAAAAACTCTCTACTATATAAGTAGAGCGTACGTCATTACCTTGCCTTTGTCCCTTTATTTACAATTGAAAAGGATGTACTATCCTTTTCATATACTGAGCCCTATCCTACTACATATCCCCTTTTTTTATTTTTTTTTGATAATAATAATGGAATGGTGAAAGGTCAGGTTAGTTAACTTATTAAATTATCCAGGAAATAAATAACCAGATGACTACGAACAGGGATGAATGGAAGAGAAAAACATATTACGCTGACCTCAAATAAATAGGATAAGGAAGAAGCAAATGATAATATCTAGGATTTTTAAAGATGTTTTTCAGGGGAACCGCATGCAGGTCAACTTGACATGGTACATTGCTAGCAATGGGATTATTAGTCCACCTATCCCTATTGATGTTTATAATTTTCACACTCACGCTCTACTTATATTCATGGATTTACATTAAATAATAATAATACAAAACATGGTCTTAATTCTT